CCCCCCCCTCCCCTCTGTCCCTCTCCAATAATACTAGAATTAGCAGAGGTTTCGTGTTTAATTTTGTAACTGAGTTGTTGGGTGTGTGGGGTGGGAGGATGTAAGGAGGATTCCTGCTGGGGACCTGGGTAGATGGTCCATTGAGGGAAACAGGGATTAGAAGAAGATCCTTGTGAGGGAAAGATGAAAATCAGAACCACAGGAGAAGAATCTGGGTTGGAATCATGGACTTGTGAGTTATTCGACAAAAGAGGTACTAAACAGACTGTAGAATTTTTACCCCACAAAATAACACAGGCCCGTCCTTGCCTATACAGGTGAGGCAAAGACCTTGTTTGGAATCATGGACTTGTGAGTTATTCGACAAAAGAGGTACTAAACAGACTGTAGAGTTTTTACCCCACAAAATAACACAGGCCCGTCCTTGCCTATACAGGTGAGGCAAAGACCTTGTTCTGAACAGTGTGCGGGACAGATTTACAAAATGCTGCACTCTTAGTTCATGTGTGTGCCCCCCATGCTGCGGGGTCACACGAGCGTAGCTGTGCTAATCCAGTTGCTCACGCCCTGAGACTCGGGCACATCTCAAGCACGTCAGGCACACATGGGCACGTCTTAGAACAGAGGCTGCACACAGGAAGGACCAAGCAGCTGCAAGGGAAATAACCAAGGGCGATTGAGGGAAGGCCCCTTCCAGGATAACAAGCTGAGGTAAGACAACGAGCTTATTTCTGAATGAAACGTGCCTGTCACTGACCTTACCCTCTGGGTCCTCAGGGACACATGCCCCAAGTCCTTGGTGGAGATGGGTTCTTCAAAAGGAAACACAAATACCTGCATGGGTCTTTGAGAGCAGAGATGGAGCCACACTGGGGTGATGGCTTTCTCAGAACAGGGCAGAGGTGAGAACCGAGTCCCGGCGTGAAGTTGGCCCAGGCAACAACGCCTTCATTGGGCATCCTGGTTGGCAGTGGTGCCCTGATGGGTGAGGACATCAGGCCCATCAGACGCTGGAGCCTCAATATCAAGGGTCAGAGTCATCAGGGGGCTGGCTCCTCACCTCACTGTCAGCAAAAATGGACCACGTCACATTCGCATAAGAACCACACCTGGAAAGGTGAGAAATGGCAGATGTCACCTAGCACAGGAAGCACCGGGAAAACTACTCCAGGCAGACCCCCAGAGCTGTGCAGGAAGAACCTTAGCATCTAGAGTTTCCAGAGTTTATACAGGCAGAAATACTATTTGGTGACTTATTTTCTTCTTAATTTTACCCCTAGTCCAGTGTGACTTTGGAAATAGAAGTTATACTGAAAAACAGGGTTACACAAATAAAGAAAAAAGAAAAGAAATTTTATAACTCCCACCATTTACACGTGCATTAAAAAGTTTCCATATCCAAGAACTCCTCACAATGCAGATGCTTCTGAACTTTTTTCTAAGAAAATATTAAATAATAACCTTGCAGATCCCTGTCAACGAGACACTCACAGCAACTGTCGTGCTCTTAACCTCTCTTGTGGTCCTAGGGGCCTCTTTTGCTGCAGGACTATAAAGAAGAACGTGAGGGCTCCTGCTTTCTAATAGTCACAGTGATAAGGAAAGAAAGTTTTCTTGGAAAATTCAAGATAAACTTGAGACACAATGGCAGGCTCTGTTCTCACAGCTAATTGGAAAACCTGGATGGTACCCAGGTTTGAATGACGTAGAAGTAATTATTCCTTTCCCTTCACAGATAACTTTAGAAAAGGATCCCCTTAGATTCATGAACTTTTCACACTGCAGCATGAGAAACACAGGAATGTCGCTGTCTGCCCTGCCCAGACGAAGATCTATTCCCCCAAACTGAATGCATTTGTTTAAGCCTGTTTCAAAAAATAATAATAATTGATCATTTAGCTCACAATTTTCTTTTGGGGGGTGGGTGGACAAAATTCTATCAGATTACTGAGAAAATAATGGTATCCATCAAATAATCACATTGCTTTCTTGCTTTCTTTTTCTTTAAAAAAAAAAACAGAACTCATGCTGATTTTGCAACAGGAAGCCGGCCCACATGACAAATTAGTCAAGATGAAATGCAGTGGTTTGGCATTTCTGGGAACTTAATTCTCAGGTTTTGAAAAATCTGGGAAAAACAAGAAATCTCATTGTTAAAGTAGAGTAAGCACAGCAGCAACAACCACTTGTAAGAAAAGCTCATTTGCAAACAGGAAAGAACATTTCGAAACAGAAAGGTTGTCTGTAAAACAGCCATTTAAAATAAGTACATGGAGATGATCCAAACGCGGAGAGACAGACGCATAGCAAGGAGGGCCCAACAGCAGGAGTGCGGAGGCTGTGATCCTGCAGCTGACAGTCCTGTGCGGCTTTCGTCCTGTGCTTTATTATACCCCATGTCAGGACAAAGGTCCCCAGATTCCTCTGACCGAAATTTTAAACAGAATGTGGACAACAGACCAGGGTTAAAAAACAAAGGTAAAAATCTAAAGCAAAAGAGAATCAGAAAAGAGGAAACAATGTAAGGAAGAAGACATGAGAACAAGGGCACGAAGCCAAGCTCAGTGCGCTCATCTGTTCTGTTGCTTATGATAGATCACCTGAAACTGGCTGAAATTCATTTCCTACAGTTTAGAGGCCGGGAAGTCCACAGTCCAGGGGGCACATCTGCTGAGGGCCTTGTTGTGAGTGGTGACTCTCCACAGCAATGCAATGTGTCACATGGCAAATGGCTGAGCAGGAGAGAGCTAAGCTTTTCACTTGCCCTCCTTTTAAAGCCGTCAGGACCACACACATCAATCCATGAATGGATCAATCCATTCACAAGGGCACAGTCCACACAATCCAATCACCTCTTTAAGGCCTCACTTTTCAATTATCATAATAGGATTTCCCACCCTCTTCACACTGTTACAGTGGGTATTAAGTTTCCAATACATGAACCTTTAACCCATAGCAATCAGGAACACTCCAAGTCAGAGAGAAGAGACAGAAAGTTGCCAGAGTCAAGCTTGCTAACAGAGGACAATGCCAAAGAGGCCAAGGAACACCTTAATGTGGAGCTTTCAGACTTTTCCAAGGGCCCTCTAATGATGGAGAGTGGATTCATACCTTTGAAGACTCTGAAGGCACAGCTGGGAACAAACAGACATGAGGGCAGCATTATCATGTATCTAAGTGTCATACATTTTAAAGTTTAGTGGGCAAGTTGCATTTCATTTCATAGGGTAGCTTTGTTTTTCTCAATATAAAGATAGTGTAGGGGCCGGCCCGGTGGCGCACTGCTACAGTGCGCCGCTTGGGAGTGCGGCGGCGCTC